CTAGATCTTAGAGTTTCTGCTGCCCACAGCAGGTGGATTTAATCAGTTAGGGCTGATCGGTGGCATAAGGAATGGAGACACAGCCTCAGACTCTAGTGATAAACCTGCTGTGATATCACTGAAGCTACAAAGACGGAGACATTCAGCAACACCAGCTGACGGAGGAAGGATACGGCATCCTGCCTGGCTTTGGCTATGATGAGGTTCTCCATCATCTGCCGTTGGAGGGACAGGGTCTGCATCGGAACAGAGAAGAAGACTTTAAACATGTGCATTCATGACAGGAAACTGACTTCACAGTGAAATAATATCAAATAAGTAAATAAAACACAGTCGTATTTGAAAAAACGACCCTAAAATTAACCTTCCAGCTGATTTCTAGACATTAAAAGAGGAAAATAATAAGTCGTGGTTACCACCAACGTACGTGAGCATGAATCACGTCTCATCTAAAAGCTCCTCAAAACAGCCACTGAACAAAACTCCAGGTTATGCTGAAATCCGCAACAACAAACACCTCAACGCTGCGAGAAGCATCACAAAGTACGTTTACAAACTTCACACACCAGAAACTTAAAGTAATATTGAAGCAAAACGAAACTATTCACTCTGGTTTGTTCCTCCTTAACTGTGCAGCCTCAAAGTCATTCATTTCTGATGCAAACTTGGCAGTAAATACCGGGTCACAGCTCCTGACGTTATACAATCCTGATGCAGAACATCTGCACAGCTCCCTTATGTACACAACAAGTTTATGGAAAACTGACACACTTTAATAAATACGTGAGGAACGATGCACAAAAAACATTCATCTCAGAGGACAAGAGAAGCACGACTACGACTACTTGGTAAATATAGGTCCAAACTGTAAATGATGCAATGAGGATAAAGTTGCAGCAGCGTGTCTGACCGAGGCTTTAAACTCTTCTGTCAGCGGTTCTGTGGCTGCATGAGACCATTATTTTCACTGTCATTTAACAGGTTGATTATTTTCTGGATTCATTGATTCGTTTTTTTGGTCCATGAAATGCCAGAAGGAAAAAAAAAAAAAAAGACAATCAGTGTTTTCTAAAACCCAACATGACGTCCTCCAGTGTCCACAGATCTTCAGTTTACTGTTATCAAGGAGGAGGAAAACCAGATAACGTTCACATTTATAAGCTGGAATCAGAGAATTTAGACTTTTTTCTTCTTCCAGTAACACACTAACACACCGATTAATCGACTACCAAAGTAGCTGCCGGTTCACTGGACGGCTGACAACTCGTAAATAACCGATGAACTGCTGCAGCTCCACAACCACAGTTCAGATGGTGTCTCAGTGTCTCCCAAAGGTCAAGGTGACGTGTTTTGTCCAGAGATCTTCAGTTTATTGTCATAGACGAGGAAAGAAACCAGAAGATATTCAAAGTTAAGAAGCTGAAATCAGAGAATTTAGACTTTCCTCGCCTCAAAATCTACATATCAAAATAAGTGGCGACTAATTCAATAACCAACGACTGATTATGGCTGCAGCTCTGGTCAATATGAAATGCACGGGTGCTTTGATCATGGATACTGATGGTAATGTAAATCCCTGTGCACTCATTTCAAATCTCCATAACAAGTGCTGAAATGTGCAAAACTGCACCAATGAACAATCTGTGATTTTTTAAAAACCAGAAGACCAGCTGATGTTCATGAACAGAGGCGTAAACGTTGGTGGACTTTTGTGTTTCAGTAAAACATGAAATAGGACTTTTGATCTGAAGGAAAACAAACATTTAGAAGCACTCCAGGATGCCTGAGAGCCTTGCTGCATTTACTTCATCACAGTTTGAACCGCCACGTGCTGCTGACATGTTAGTATGTACATAAAGACAGTTCCACAGTGAATTATGTAGGAAAATACTTTAAAACTATAGAAATTCACCAGAATGCATGACATGAAGTGTTTGACCTCCAGATGTAGCTGAACGAGCTCAAATTGAAATGTGAAACGGTTCAATTAGCACATTGCAAAGGCAGTAAATTAGGGTCTATTATTATCATTATTCCTTTTTAAACCGTGGCAGCAGAATGTGCAATATTTCGACGCTGCTGTGGAGCCATGAATCAGCTACCTGCTTCCTGAATGCTGCTATCTAATTACTGGAATTACTTTATTTTTCATGACTTTATTTACTTTTGTGACCTCCATGTAAGCCTCTTAAAAATGTAATAAATACACGTTAGGTGCAGTTTGTCCCATGTGGTAAAGCTGCATCACGTTTTAAACCAATCAATATTGAACTTAAACTTTAAAAACATATTGCAAACCAAAGTTTTTTTAATTACACATTATCCCCAACCTAACCCCCATCACCTGGGCTGTACTGTTACTAAACTCATCCTCTAGCTGCAGCAGCTTTCCTCCACCTGTAATGTGAGTCTACTCCCACTGCTCAGACACACGTTTAAACGCTCCCGCTGCTTGTTTGTGTGTTTACTCCCCAACAAACACCGGAGGCGCTAATTAGCCGACAGAGCTAGCTGCTGGACTTTACCTGGACGAACTCCTTCAGTTTTCTCCAGTAAGCTCGGAGCTCCAGTGGATGCCGAAACATTGTCCGTATCTGAACGACAGGTCAACGAGATTTAAAAGATCTCCGACACAAAACAAAGTTGATACCGAGGGTTTTACTGAACGTCAGCGCGGTGTTTAGGGTAAGCTAGCGGACTGACCGTTAACGGTCGCAGCATCTTAGCATCTTTTTTTTTTTTTTTTTTTTTAAACCAAACAGATCGACACAACACAGAGAAAACAGCTCAGCTTGTTGTATTAGACTTCATCTGGCCTTAAATGAGCCCCGACGGGGAGAGACTTCCACACAGTCCGCTGTTCTTCCTCCGCTCCGGTTATCTGTCATCATCCACCCGCGATAAGCCACAAGCTAACGGCTAACAGCTAATGGCTAACAGCTAACGGCTACGGAAGCTCACGATAAAAGCACCGGAGGTCAGCTCTCTGCTTACTTTCTTCCAACTAAATGTTAATTAATTATTCTAAATGTCCTATATGATGAAAATATGTTCTTATGATGTAAAACAAAAGCTTTCCAGAGTTTGACCAAAGTGCTGCCTCACATCAAACCGACCAATAGCAACTCAAACTGTGTATAACTCCGCCCCCTCACCGCCTCCAGGTGAGCCACCACGTTTATCTGTTTTCTATTAATGCTCCTGCTAACTCCAAAACATCTCAGCTAGGAGCAAAGTCTACCAAATGTTCTGCTGTTGGCTGCAGGAGTGAACACAAGAGTGTTGGTGCACTCCCAGCATGGATTGATGAGATTGTTGATGGCAATGTCCCCACAGCAACAGGAGAATCCTCAGTGTCAGCGTATTGTGTAGCTAATGCTGCTAACATTAGCTTCCACTGCATGCTTTGGAAAGCGGAACACTGAGGGACCTTCAGAGATGGTGGGAGCTTTAGTTTAACCAGTAAACCAGCACTGGGCCAGGTACTGTGTTTCCAGTTCAGCCTAAACAAAGCTGCTGTTTCCATGTGGTAGCTTCTCTCCTGTTCTCTGTGCAGTTTAAAACAGTCCAGATGCCAACAGCGACTACAGCAGGGCTCTTTAAGCTACACACCAACCAGCAGTCACTCTGGAGCCATTCTGCTAGTCAGCTATAGGCTGATTTTGGTCTGACAAAACTCAAGTTAGAGACGGCTGAGCTGAAAAATCCGACATATTTACATGTAAAATGAGCCTCAGGGAGAAAACAGGACCTGAAAGAAAGTTCTCATGTACACCTGTCAGCGGCCACGTTCTTCCTGAAGGGGGCGGGGCCCGCAGCAGGGGGCGGGGCCAGCAGCAGATCAGCTGCTTTTACAGCTACAGACAGTGAAACAGCGCCTTTAGAAGAGACCAAGAGCTAAACTGGTTAGACTGTCAGTATTTTGAGGTTAAAAACATGTTGATGAAACACGTGAGACTTTCATTGATTTGCTGAAAGGGGCTGAATATGGGACATGAACAGGGCCATACAGTCGATAAACGTATAAAGTGTTTCCTGTCAGTCCATATTGATAATTAATGGTACTTTTAGTGACGTATTTTTGTATTATAGTCCAGAAGACAAAAGGTTTAATTTGAATTTCACTAATTTAGTCTATTTGTCAACGTACAAATGCACACATTTACATTTAGCACAACTATGAAAAATAAAATATATTAGCACACAAACATAAAAGGCTGCATGTAAAACTTAATAAATTCTTTTTAACATAAGGGAACCAGTATTTGTTGTTCCAGCACAGAATCATGACACTATGAACACCACTGGGAGCTATAATGGGCCCATGCCGAGCATTTTATACTTCTGTCTGTGCCGCACCCTGAAAAGAGCGTCTGAGCGTTGGCATCTTCTTACCAGTCCAGCCAGGACATGCCAGCGTAGGAAAGACATTTTAATCCAAGGCGTGCCTCAGCTTGGTCAGATGTTACAGTGAACCCACCAAAACATGAAGCATGAAACTCTACAGATTTTATATTCACTGGTTCCCACATTTCATGTCCACAACAGAACCAACAGCCTTGGTGAGGTGTAGAAACAAAGCAGCAGCAGCAGCAGCTTGTACGAGCTTCTAGTTCCACATGTTGGAGGCCACAAGTCGCTTCTAACACAATGTTCTGAGTTTTGGTTCATGAGTGAGATCTTTCACATGTAAACAAACTGTTGATGCATCCCTTCACTGCTCCAGCTTCATTTCTGTTCACGAGGACAGAAGTGAAGATGCAGGAACCTGAAGCCCTGATGACGGAGTTCAGCATCACTCAGACTGATTGGGGGCGGAG